TTTTCTTCTGGTATTTGAAATACTAGAAGAAAATGCTGCAAACAGCAATGACGATTTTCTCTGAGAAACAAAGCAGTTCCTTGACTTCACGATATCGTAATCTAGGTTGACAAAGTAACTAAAACATGGCTGTGTGAAGGCTACCGACACTGCAAGATTTGTTTTTCATCTGTCTGTGACACTTTTCCCATTACCATCGTTACGCAGTGAGTTCACAAGTCATCATTATAACTTCCACACATGTCCATGTACATACAAAAACTACCAAACACAGTATTTCAACCAGCCAAGTTCAACATTTTGATTTTTTTCTCTCCTAGATATCTTCATGCGGAAATGAAAACAAATCTAGAACACCAACACTCATCTGAGAAATTAGGAATTTATGTAGAACACATGCAGTAGTGTATGGTTCATTTGACTGAGGCCTGTACCACTTTCTCCCAGAGCTGAACACTTGCTTTGAAAATAAGTCTGAAAACTCTTCATAACCTTTGTTGGTTTATACACAATAGCTTCAAGTAGTACTTGGTTGACCAGCCCCTTCTTTTAAACAGGAAGTGAGGCAAAGAAACCATGCACTGCGTGGAAACTAAATGAAAAAATGATCTTCGCTCTCTTAAACCAACAGATTTCCATGCATATTCTACTCAAGACAGCAACACAAAACACTTCAACATGCTGAAGGAAAATCTCTTGAAATGAACTAACATGCTTGGATCCTAACTTTTCATAAAAGGTGTTTCATGCAAAGTGGCCCACATGAGGGAGGAAGACGAGCGAGAGGCAGTGATGATCCTTACCTGAAAGAAGCCCGGAGGCATTGGACCACTAGGCGGCATCCCATCATTAGGGGGCATCTGGCCTAATACTGGACTTGGAGCTGCACCACTCTGGAAAGGGAAGGGCAAGAAAGAGGACAATACCAACTCATTGAGAAATCTCATGTCATATGTGCTGGACTGGGAGCTGCACCACTCTGGCAAGGGAACAGCACGGAAGAGGACCGTATCTAGTCACCGAGACATCTTAGTGCATGTAATATATTTATGTGCCAGAAATGGGAGCTACACAACTCATGAATAGGAACGGCAAAAAATGAGGAAAATGCCTAGTCAGTAAGAAGTATTATATTGTTACATGTACTAGATGGAGAACTACACCACTCTGGAAAGGGAACAGCAAAGAAGTGGGACATGAAATGGATTTGGGAGCTGCAAACAAGTCCCAGTTATGGAGCAGAATTTTCTGCCCTTTGTTGCATTTCATTCTGCATATAAACATGGTAAAATACCAGATACCTTTACGGCAAATCAGTCCTAAACAGATTAGTGCTGAAAAGAATTCAACTCATACATGTACTGCAAGGTGGCAACATTTTGCACCAGGATTTTGAATCACATTTGTTCATCATGTGAGGCTGATCTTTAATGGATTGGGAAAAAACCTCTTCAAGTTTTTTTTTAGCCCATTCTATTCCCCTGCCCCCACTCCGGTCATTTTTGGTGGATGATATCTGCAAGACTGGCAGTGAGTCATAGGGGGGGTGCCAATATGCTGACCGACTTCATCAACATTTTTCTTGCGACTGCAGTGAATTGGCAACCGAGGAGTTTAAGGGAAAAAGAGAGAAAAAAGACGGGAAAAAATGAAGAGGAAAGAACCGGCCAGGATAAGACTTCTTGCTTCAAGAAATCGTATTATCGAGGGAAGTCACAGCAGGAAAAGCTGTATGATGCATGCTTCAGGTGATGTGATGAAAGTGGCAGTTGAGTTGAAGGAACCAACTTCCACACATTAAAGAACACAAAACCTGCTTTATGGACCAGACATATTCAAACAGTGCAAACTATGGGATATTATCTTATTTCATAACCAATATGTAGAAGTTTTAAAACAACTGTTGCCATTAATGTAGATCCTACTATGTAAAAAGCCACAGATAGCCAAGCAGGTGCTGCAAGGGGCAACTAACAGACAATGCAGTATAAGATTTAATCTACAATACAAAGCACGAAACTAAAAAATTACGACGATAAAATGTAAACAATTGCATTTGCTGCAAAGGTAAATGCAGCTTTCACGTAAAACTTTTAAAAATCAAACAAAAAAAGTGACTTTATTGACACACCCAGGCCTTTAACAAAAGGGCGAGGATGCTACGAGGAAATGCGGGAGTATTGCTGATACATCAATATTATTCTCTAGCTGCCAAAAATGCACTTATGCCCCCGCTACACTCGACCTGATGTATCTGTCCCCTGATGCAAAGCAACATCATTAGGAGTAAAGTGCTCTGAACCCAGCAGGCAATGAAGGCAGACTCTAACAGAGGATTTTTTAAGCCTTTTTTTTTCCACTCAAAACAGAATCTCGTACCGAATTCCTGGGAAGCAGGCTGGACTGTATAATACTTGTGCACCGGTTGATGGTTCTTGCTTTTCAGAAAGGAAAAAAAACCCAAGTGTGTTGGGAAAAAAAACTCAGATGTCTTGCAAAATGTAAAAAATCAGGAGGAACAAATCAGATTTTTGGCTTTGCTTAGTTTTGTGAATGTCAAGGTCTACTGCATGGGAACCTGCTCGCTTAATATCAATGTTGGCTATTTGTAAGATCCTTTCAATTTGTCTATGGAGGAGGTGTACAAAGAAACCCACACGCAGATGCCAAGGGAGAACTTGGATTTTGAAAATCAGTGCTGGGATTTAAAAGGATGGTTATGCCTTCTCTGCAGTAAGATCTTTCAACCATTTCCTTAATCAGGGTTGCGAACCATATGTCATCCCTACAAAGAAAATATGAAAAGTGCATCTCTTCAGTCGCCCTTGCACAGACATAAACTTCTCATTTTCAGCAAAGCAAAACTTTTAGAGAGAAAACTGTATATACTGACAGCAGAAATGCATACTATTTGCATCAAACGAGCTGCCAAAATTCCACACAGGATTTTTCACCCAAGCTATATGACTCACACAAACCAGTAGCAAAATGGGAAGATATAATTTTGTTTGGTAATTTTTCTGTACCTTGTGTAGAAATGGTGCTACAGGTTGTTCTCCATTGACATCCAAATGCGGGTTCGGCCTCCCTCTCTATAAATGGACAAAGGGGAAAAATGGAAAAATGGGAAAACAGAAACAAATTAGTTCAGTGGAATTGTTCAGGGGGGCCTACATGAGAAAAGGCCATGTCACACATTTTGACGTGCTAAAAACTGAAGTGCTGAATCTGTTACATACGGTCAGTGACTACCCTTTAAAAGTGTTGAATCCTGCATTTCAAATGTTGAATACAGCATATAAAATATTTCATTTAAATGTCAAAAGGGTTAGTTCTATCATTTAAGTGTTAATTCGACATTTCTAAAAGTGTTTTTCCTGAAATTGTTGAATTAAGATTTTAAATCCTGAATCAACAGTTGAAATACTGGATTTTGCAGTTTAAAATGTTGAATATAACATTTAAATTTTGGGATTCAACGCTTTCAAAGTATCGTCATTATAAGTGTTCATGTAGTCACAATTATTTACAATTTCCTGTATCTATTTCAAGTTGTCTTGTCCACAGGTTACAGATGTCTGTGTGCTTATTTCAATCATTCTACTGTATTTACTTGCATAATAAAACTCATATCTGTATAATTAAAGGTTATCCGAGAATAACAAAATTCCCTGCTCGTTAATGTGGGACTCTCTATTCCTCTGGTAAAATTTATGCTACTGCATATACATTGGGATCCCACTATCTGGTCACAGGATACAATGGCACGATCATTTCCTCAAAAGATCTGAAAAAGGAAGCGTTCAGGTTCATTTCTGTTTCCTGAAATATTTCTGGGAAGTTTCACGATACATGTACATTTGTGCAGTGAGGGTACATGTGGTTCTCTCTTAGCTACTTATGCATTTTGATGAGTGTACGTGTTCATAGACATGTATATTACCTCCTGCCTATATTCACCTTTATGTAAGGTTTGTTCTTGGCATGCTTTCTAAGAAAAAGTAGTTTCATATGTTCTGAATAAATTTTCACAACGAATGATTAAACCTTATTAGTTTGTTTGTTTGGGGGGGCTGATATTTTCTTTCATGCCAAAGTTTGTTATTGCCACCGTATGTAACACTCATTAGAGTACAGAAGTGAATACGTCACACAATTATGAGTGTAAAAGGCATCAGCGAAAACAGGTGCACGAACCAACATGCCCACATACTCCATTCATTTGCACTACACTTCTTAGTTCACAATGTCACACTTTGATACTCAATATGCATTCTTTTCAGGTTGGCTGTTTAACAGGAGCCAACATCAAACTCCTCAGAATCTTGATAACAGATCGGATCGTGTCCACATTACTTGGCTGTGGCTTATTCTCAGCCACTATCCACAGGGTCATGTGTGATATCAGGCTGCACGCTAGTTATTAGGACACAGCCACCATTTCAGATCTGACCCCAATGCAAATTCCCAGGGCTGTGATCTCCCATTAGCCCATGGATACTGAACCCTTCCTTAATACAGTATGTGGATTTTTCAAGGTTAGACAATTCAAGGTTTGCCACTTTTTGGGAAGTCTGTACATAAAAGGGCAAGATTCACATAATCATAGTTGTTTATGGGAGAACTCCTTCATTGTTGCCTGTAAAAAAACACCCATGATTGAGGTCTCAGCATTTTATTGCCGTCACTGGCGTTCCAACTCCTCTGCAGGATGTTTTCTGAATTTCTCTCCATCCAATCTCACAATGTAACCTTGCCAGAGCAAAAATTTTAAACTTTTTCACAGTTTTTGAAACTACCAGTACTCAAAACACATTAGCTTATGAATGACTCAGAATCACGGGCAGTGTGGCCATCAATTGATACTTTCCTCCAGATTACCATGAACGAGTTCATTTCAAGGCTTCTGTGAGATTTGGCCAACAGGGTCTAATACGCTACCTAGGGAACCGGCTCAACCAATGTACATTTTTCATGTATACACAGTCTGTGCACAGATACATAAAGGCTACACTTGATGAAGACGACAATTTGAATGCATCGCCAAAATGATAATGATGTAGAAATTAATGTCTGTGTCTTCCCGTCCATCCGTATGGAGGATGCATGTGTATGCACATATCTAACTGGTTTTTACATGCCAAACTCTGAGCCCTTCTGTGGGAAGGTAGACAGAACTCCATCATCATTCCCTCATGAGCTGAAGAGTCACTTGCCACACAATATTGCCTGGGGAAAAAATGGTTCCCTCGGAGCTTCCTTGCCAGACAGAACAAAAAAACAAAAGAAAGGGAAATAAAAGACACTGGCTGCCCGACTTTCTCCTTTCACTATGCAAAGACGGCGGTCGACCTTAGAATGTCAGCTGAATCTCCTCTGTTGGTCAATGCAACAAGTCAACCAAATCCACGCCAGTGCAAAGGTATGCACCACACGGCACTGTTCATTCTTCACAAACTGTACAGGTGAATGTGCACAAGCAGCTCTCCTCTGGGACAAAACTAGGACAGGGAAGACTGTTTTTGTTTACATTTCCAGTGGTCTTTGGTGATTTCTAAGTACTGTAAGTGTTCAAGTTTATGCTCTGACAGACAATCAACACAATGTGACATTTTAATTCTATTATTCTTGAAACATACACGTATACTCCGCTACTGGAGGGAAAATTTGGAGATTACTAATTTGGGAAAATACACAGTCCTCAACAACTTTGTTTCTCTCTGTACCAGTACTTTAACTGGGCACAACTTTGTTGGCAATTTTTGAAAGAAAAAAAAAAGACAGAGAAGCCCCATGTGCTGTGCACACCTATGTCCCCGCAAAAACTACAGCATTTCAAATTACCAGTTGACCATCTTTTCTTTAGATGTAAAATGGTTACACTTCATACTCAAACTTTATATACTGTACTAGAAGTTTCATAAATTTGCACTTGTTAAAGTTACACCAATGAGATTACACCTTGGAATTTGTCCAAATCAGATGAAAGCAACAACGACCGTGACTAATCACAAACGGGGTACTGAATAAAGAAAGATGGTTCTTCTATTCCCCTGCTGGCTTAGGTAGAGAGTGAATGGATGCTCAGACCCCCAGACACTCTTCAGCATGCACTAGCATAATCATTGTATACACCCACTTACAGCTTCACAAACGCTAAGGGCACAACAAGCCCGCCCACATGCAATGGCAAACACATGCTAGATAACCCTCAGATCAGCTCCCCAACGCTCTTTTTCGAACGCTCTTTTTGTGTGTGTGTGTGTGTATTCCTCTCTCCTTCCTCTCCAAAAAATCTGTTCAATCCACAACAAAAGAGATTACAACATGCAGAGCCCTATTCAGGGTCACTAAATAAACATCGCTGACTTCCCCTCGCCTGGCTTGACCCCCTTACTTTAGGGGTGCTTCTAATCAATAAAGGGTAACAATAGAACACCCTGTGCAGCAAGGATTGTAGCATGTGCCTGGCTTTAGTTTAGTCAACTTCCACTGCATTTACACCCAACAATGCCCTACCAAAATCCTCCATCCTTGGATGCTGGACAATATTTGACTTAAATGTTACTTAATGCAATATTAGCAGTTCCAGTGACAACATGTAGCCTAACAGTGACCTGCATGAACTCTTCTGGATCTGTAAGCAAACTCTGTGGTGTGTGTGTGGGGGGGGTGCTTCAGAGCACACTGCAAAGCGGGAGGATGAGCAGCTCTTGTAACAGCCACTGGTTTGCCCTTGGTGGCTAAGGCTCATTATATATGCCCGAGCTTTTGATGTGACCCATGGCTTGTCAGAGTCTGTATGCATAGGATTCACAGTGTGTATAACGTGTCAGCAAACACAAATACAAACAAGATAACAGACCTACTCCTTTTTTGTAAATCCCAATCTACCTTTAAGGACAGATTTCTTTTCAAATTTAAGTTCAACAGCACCAAGATTACAGAAAAAGAACTAGTAAATATTTCAATAAACCTTCCAAACACTGGCAATGTATTATTCATATCAAACAGGAATCAACATGACATAATCAGAGAGGCACAGAAAAGGGTTAGTTTTTATCAACACGTCATGTAGTTCATCCCAGAAGCTGGAAAGTATTGCTGATCACTTAGTGTTCTCATACTCGCAGTCCTTAGAAAAAGTTATACATCCCACAGAATAATTATATTGAACTCAATAATGATAGCAGGTAGGTAGTGCATTACTTGTGTGAAATCAATGTCAAACAGAATAATCTGTAAGCTGAAAAACAAGGTCAAAGAACCACTTTTCCCTGTATGTTGCCTACAAGTACCAGTGTGGCACCAATGTGCATAATTTATATTATTTTCTTCCACGTGAGAGGGCAATATTTTGAACTGTTTGAACACACGTTACTCAGAGAAATAATTTTGCCCTGAAAAATGCCCAAGAACCACAATAGACAACGGTTTTCCAGATTCCTCATCCATGAAAGTTTTCTGATACTGTGAACCAACACATAAGTGATATAAATGTCACACATGAACACCACAAGATCACACACCAGGCAAGCAGTTTGAAGAAATTTCTGTTTGAAGGGGACACAAAATATGAACAGCGCCCTCTCTCAGCTAGACAAACCCTAACTGCAGGCAATTCTGTTCTCCAGTGTGACAAAATTCTCGAACCAGGGTAAACCAATGATTAAAATCACCTCAGAATGCAGGATCCCTAGATGTAAAACTTGTACAAGTAATTAGCTTTGGTTGGTTAACAGGTCAAATGTCATTAAACCAGGAGAATAATATGCTAGCCAAGGTTTTAAACTATGAGAGAGAGGGGTTTTTGAAGAAGACTGGAGAAAAATCTTCTTGTGTTGTAGAATTCAGTGTTGTTGAAGTTTTGTGTTACTGGCTTTGTTGTAGCATGTGCACTCTGTACCATAACAATGTAAATTCTGCATGTTTTTGCTGAGATAAAGGTTGAATAGTGAAAGACAATTTGCCTGTAGTCAAAATAAGAGGTTGTACCTTTTAACTATGGCCAATGAAGAGTAATTTTTTTTGGTTCTCTTGACTCTATTTGGCCACTCAGTGACTGATGCCCACAATATTCTTGACTCCTGAA